CTTTCTTAGAAAGGCTCTTTTGGTTTAAGAACTCTCAACTTTTCAACAGGAAGATGTTGGGGTAAAACACAACGAACTGTGGTAGCAGTAACATTTGTACAGTCTATGTATGCAGCATCATTTATTAAGCTTCTAATTCAGTCACCACATTTTTTCTTTCAGTTTACATTTGCCAAAATATGGCTGCTGTATGCACAATTTGAAATACGACAGAAAAATCTTCCACTTGCCAGAAGAGCTTTGGTAAGTAAAAGAAGAGGTTAATTCCATAATTGCCTTAACTAACAAATGACAGCAAGAGAATGGCATTAAAAGATCTTAAATGGTCTTTTATAAATTGCTGGTTTATCCGTTTAAATAAAGCATCCTAGAAGTCTGCAGGCACCACCACTGCCTGCCATGTATGGTTTAAATAAAGAAGCGTAGCTGGAGACACGGTGAATTAGCTGCTGCTGGAAATTAATGCAGCTTTCTCATTTCAGCTGGCATCTCATCTGAATAGCAACAGCACCCAAATCAGCTTAGTGCATGTGTAAATTTCTAGCTGCCGTGGATTTGCTTAAATGATATCTGTGCTAAAACAGCTTTTTAACACTTTGAAATCAGTAGTTTTTGATGCTGAGAAATTGAGACTTATGTAGGACAGTGTTTGAGTCCCAGCTACCAGATTCCTAATGGAAGCAGTGGCGGGGGCTTTGGACAGGCTTAAGAGAGTGAACTGAACTCCACTGCAGAATTCCTTGTCATGTTAGCAGAACAAGGGGATACGTTTTGGCAGGAAAAAAACTTTTGGAATGTAAAACTTCCTTTCAGATATTTTCAATAAGCTCCAGGAAAGTATGAAACATTTAGTGAGAAAGCCAGTATTGGTAACGGTTGAAGTGGTTTGGCCCTGCAGAGAAATCTGGTGGGGTTTCCACTGCACCTGTGGCCAGCAGTGATGCAGCAGGAACACGGCTGGGCTCCTGTTGCTGACCTGGGGCTGTGTTTGTCCCCAGGGTGCTAGTAAAGCTTCACCTGGTGTGCTGGACTCCTGCCCTTGAGCAGTAAAAAGGAAGCAGAGGGATTAAATCCACCGGGAGATTGTTAATATCTCCCTGCAGGAGAACACAACTGTCTGTCCTTGGGGGTGCTGCTCTTCACTCTTGGCTTTGAGAGACCACTGCTAAACACTGGTGTTTCACTGATACCACACTGCCCCTGCCTTCATTTTTAGGGGTAAATGACTGACTGAGTGGATTCTGGAAAGGCCACTTTGGTGAATCTGGAAATGTAGTTTGCTCAGTTTCTTTGAGGCTTCTTTTTTGATAGTCTTTTTTTCTTTCTGTTGTTCTATTTCTTTGACAGACTGATCTGTAGTATGTCATATCCTGTTTTGGAAAGCAGATTTTTGATGCAGCCATCAAACCAGCTGTCATGTTTTGGACTGGACCTAGATTTTAGCAGGCAGTTTCTTTGTCCCATGTTAAATAGTAGTGGCGGGCCAGGAGCCAGTTTCCCTTGATATAATTTATATAATAAGGTACTTGGGAACTGCTTGCAGAGCTTTCTTCAATGAGTCAGGATTGATTTCAACTGATAATTCATGGGGAATCCATATTACTTAAGAGTACTGAACAAGTTTGGAAGACTTTCTGTTTTCAGAATTTCTAACAATATTTGTAGATGCACACTCACTCTGTAGATGCTGATTATATTTCATAGTGGTCCTGATCGGCCTGATAAACTGCTCAAATTTGACTTGTAATTCAACTACCAAACAGTAAAAGGTTGTTCAGAAAACAGCGAAGTGTGAAATCTTTCTGCAAGACCTCTGAGTGTTTATTTCTCTTTTTTTTTTTTAAACAGGGGACATCCATAGGTAAATGTCCAAAAAACAAACTCTTCAAAGGTTATATTGAATTGGAATTACAATTGCGAGAATTTGATCGTTGCCGAAAGCTGTATGAAAAATTCTTGGAGTTTGCACCAGAGAACTGCACATCGTGGATTAAATTTGCCGAACTGGAGACCATTCTGGGGGATATTGACAGAGCCCGTGCAATATATGAGTTGGCTATTGGCCAACCCCGGCTGGACATGCCCGAGGTAAGGGGAGACAGGAACTTGGAGGTATTGAAATTTTAAGGCATTTATTGCCCAGTGGCTGGTAAAATATAAATATTTGAACAGAAATGCTTATCATAGACTAAGACCCTAATTTAGCCTCTTTTGTGACAGGTTACTTGGGGCAATAAAACCCATGATAAAACAGGGAGGAGGGAATATACTTACAGTGGCGTTTTTCTATCCCTAAAGAGCTAGTTTCTCACCAGCTGATGTGCACAAGCTTTGATATTAGTTAGCATAAATGCTTGGTAGTACAGTCAAACAATATAGAGTTCTCAACTGTATTTCTACAAATTCTGTGTTCACCCATGCTCTACCTTTATGAAATATGTATTTTTCCCCATTATCTCAGCAGCAGATACAGTGTTGTTTGAAGATGCTGTGAACGTAAGCAGAGACTTCTCTTTTACAGGTTCTTTGGAAATCCTATATTGATTTTGAAATTGAGCAAGAAGAGTATGATAACACAAGAAACCTGTACCGCAGATTACTGCAGCGGACCCAGCACGTTAAAGTAGGTACCCAGCACACTGACTGCAGCTGTGTTACCCTCCGTGCTCCTGGGAGAGCCTTGGCCACGCTCCTTGTGTGGCTATTCCAACACAGCTATGAATCCTAGGGCTGTGCCATGAAAATGTGGAAAAAAAATATTAATGGTGTTTAACAGCAGCTATTTTTCCTATAAGAAGAGCTTTACAAAAGCTTTCTAAAGCAGCCTTCTTCCTGCAGAGCAGCTTTTGACTTCTATGACAAAAAACACTGGGGGGGAAGCATACACACACACACACACACACACACACACAAAGCCCTTACAGCTAACTTTTTTTCCTTGCAGTGTAGTTTGATGCTGTAGTTTGACTAAAATCAAACAGATTTATCTTCATCCAAAACAACTATAATAAAGTCACCCAAGTGGCTTACATGAAGGTTAGAATTACCTACTTATTTATAAAGCAAAACAAAACAACTTGATTTACTTTCCCCACAGGTATGGATCAGTTTTGCACAGTTTGAGCTTTCTGCAGGGAAGGAGGAGAGTTTGCCAAGATGCCGGCAAGTTTACGAAGAGGCTAATAAGGCAATGCGGAACTGCGAGGAGAAGGAGGAGAGAGTCATGCTTCTGGAATCCTGGAGAAACTTTGAACAGGAGTTTGGAACTGATACCACTAAAGAGAGGATAGATAAACTTATGCCTGAAAAAATAAAGAAGAGAAGAAAACTTCAGGCTGAAGACGGGGTAAGAATAATGAGAAATTATGCAAGTAACTGCCTTGAATTCGTGGTGGCTTTGGCTGTTATCTCAGACACGGAGCGGATCCAGCTGGGATGGTAGCTGTAACTGTGCAGGAATTTCATTGTAGTAGCAAAGCACTGGGCTAATCAGGTGCTGCTGAGCTCCTTGCTCTTCAGCATGTACGGCTGGGAGGTGGATTCCACTCCAAATATTTTGCATGCCAAGTGCTCAAGCTAGTTTTACTTCCAACTGCTCCAGCAGACATATCAAAACAGCTTCAGGTAGTTCTATACAGATAATATCTGTTTCTCAGCTTTCTTTGAAAAATCATAATCCACCAGGTCTCCTGCCTCTGCTCCTTACCCCTAGTGGAAGCTGTACTGTCTCACACCCCTCCAGCTAGCCCAGTTTAGCTGGTGGTGGTAGTTTAACAAACACTGATTTTAATTTCATTTTACTGTTAAAACTCATTAGAAGCGCATTTTGAGAGCTAACATTAACATGCAGCCTATTTTTTTTCCCTAGTCTGATGCTGGCTGGGAGGAATATTATGATTACATTTTCCCTGAAGACACTGCCAACCAGCCCAACCTCAAACTCCTCGCTATGGCTAAACTGTGGAAGAAGCAGCAACAGGAGAGTGAAGCTGCGGAGACGGATCCTGACAAAGACATTGATGAAAGCCAGTCTTAAAACATTGACTTCCCCTCCTTTTGGGAGGGTACTGTACAGTATTTTCACTGAGGATGAATAAATGTAGCTGAAGAGTTTTACTACTATTGACTTAAACTATTTTTGGCTTGAAAAAGAAAGCATATTTTAAGGTGATTCCATTTAACATTGTAATTTTAACCACAGCAAGGGAAAAGCAAGTGCAGAAGTCTGCAGCTGTTGTCAATGTTCTGAGAACTGCAAGAAAAGCAGCAGTGCTTGCAGCTCTGTTTTCAAATCCAGGACTGTCTTTCCTAAGGCTCCCAGAAACCATCACAGGAACGCTTGATATAAGGATATCAGCATGGCAGGACCCCAAATGTACTTTTGTAACAAGAAAGATGCCTTCAGTCATTCCTGATATATTTTCCAGTAATTCTGTAGCACAGATTTTGATCACAAGGATGGTTGAAAACAATAAATCCTACTGACAACTGTAACCAGTTCCGCTTCCTACTAAAATAAGTTTTCATCCCAGAAACACTTAGGAAGGAGAGTAATAGGAGTTAAATGTAACTGAAATTAACCCTTAAAAGACAAGTGTATAGAAATCAGCATCACACAGTTTGTCTGTATTGTACAAGTTTTTTTTTTTTTTTTTTTCCCCCTCCTCCAAGAAAGATACTTCAAATTTCAACATTTCAAACAGGAAGCATGAATAAGAATTGCATAGCTGTGACTCTCAGGCTTAAGAATGAAAATTGATTCCTGTCTTTTTTTTTTTTCTTAATATTTACTGTAAACAATGTCAGTATAACATTTAATTAAGCTTGTGGGAAGTAGAAGGGAGGAGCAGTGTAAGCAGATGTCTCAGTATTATTTTGAAGTTTTAGAGGGAAGAGGAGAAGCATTGAGCATAAGATTTCTCATCCATTTAAGCTCAAGGGAAAGGAGAAAAAAGAAACCTGATGCTCATAGTGAGTTGCCTGAGAATCACAGCTTACAGCTATTCAATATCTTCTGGTCTCACAGGATGTGGCAGAGGTATAATTGATTTCTTCTCTGAATCTCTCGAAAGGGCTTTTCTCATATCTGTTTCAAAAGAAGTAAGTGTTACTATAACAAGACAGACATTACCCAAAGCCATAGTAAAGTGAATTTGCTATTACAGTAAGATTATTTCTCATCAAGAACAGTCCAGTAGCAATGTTATAAATTCAGACACTGCACAGAATTCAACAGACCCTAAGGGAAACAGCAAGTTAAAAAGGGCTTTAAGGCATCTGCCCCAAAAGCAGATGTCTCTTGTAGTATTTCACAGGGCTCCTTCAAATCAAATGAAGGATGCAAGAAGGGAGATGATGTGCAACATGGCCACACAAGCCTCACTGGGGGATACTTAAAATCTAGAAGTAACAGGAAGCTAGTATTTCATTTGTGTTAACAGAGAATTGGCTAAGTAGCTGCATTTATATTTTAATCTTCCTCACAGACTGGCACATATTTGTAATTATTAGTTTATTCATGCTTGGTAGGTTTTTTTTGCCACCAAGAGTACCTAACGTGTATACTGCACCATCAAGGTTTGTAACTGAAGTACTCTGCCTGGCAGAGTAGTACTCCAACACCGTCCGGTATACGCTGTAGCCTAGTTGCTTATACATATTTACAGCTACTTGATTTGAGACTCTCACAAAGAGATCCACGAAAAATCCACCCTTTCTTTGTAAAAAATAAATAGAAGAAAGTAAGGAAGAGCTTGCAAACCTATTTCCAAATAATAACCCATAGCCTGGAATCAGGCTGAAATGAACTTCATTTTCTCAGGTACGAGTAACCCAGCGTGACAGCCAAAGTGAGCTAAGATGCTGCCTCAAGCACATAACTCAGTGCTGCACCTGGTGGCGTCACACAAAGTCCGTAACTACTGCTCAGTGATTTCGTGGGCACTACAGGAAATAGTACTGATAATCTGTGAAATTTTTCCTACCAAGAAAAGTGGGCTACTCCCTACTTATCCTGGCAAGTCACAGAAACTATGGGATTTTAAACTGCCAAGCTGCAGTCATCATGCTTGTTTTCTCCAACCACAGGGGAATCCGAGTGAATCACAACACTGTTTAGTGGAAAAGTCCGTGTCTGTATCCACATAAATAACTAAACCATGGACAAAGATCTGCAGCAAGATTCCTTTAGTAAGATACAAGCAAGATTATTTTAACAAGATGATAAAAACAAACGTGCTACTCACTTTTCTGAGATTTCTTCCAGCAGTTCCATCAACTTAGCAGCCAAGCCCAGCCGGCGAAACTCGGGTGCGACAGAGAGGGCAGTAACATGTCCGTGCCATTCCTCCCTGGCCACGGAGCCTTCTGCTTTACCCATTACTGCAAACACATGGAGCACAGTGGGGCTTTTGGGATAACGTGCTGTGGACAGCTGAGCACATTTAACCAAAACAGAACCAAAGCGACACAGAAACAGGCACTGCAGCGATTGTGGTAAATGCTGACATAGCCATGTCTGTGGGTTAACAAGAAATTGGAAGCCTGACCCCCAAAGTCCCTGTCTGCCTGGGTGAGCCCTGATGGAAAGGCCCCTAACTCCCAAATCCCTCGTCCTGCCAACTGCATCTTGTGAGGTTATCATAACATCAAAGTCAACTGACTGTAGAAGAGGCAAACAGCTCGCACACAGCTCCACTAAATGTCATTCTGCACAAACTTTACACTATTAATTTCCCCTAAGGTCCTCCAAAAAAAATCTGAAAACTAATTTTTGAAACCTAATATTCAAACAAAAACCTTAAGAGAGTCTTTAACAGAGCAGAATTCAGGATCTGATTGAGACTGAAGGGAAGGAGGGCCAGAAACGCCACACTTAGCACCCCAGAACTAAGCATCATGCCCACTACTGGAGATTTAGGTCACCAAGCGCCTTGGGAAGCTTTGCCAGCCTGGCAGGGGAAAGCTGCAGCCATGCAAAGATGATATCATTAAGAACAAAAGGGGTCATCATTTTACAGGGTGGGCTTCTTTGTAGTTCTTTCCCTTTCCGCACAGGACCCTCCCTGGGTTAGGTCACTCCTATCCCACGCAGGGCTCCTAGCAGCACAGGCCCTGCTACGGAAAGGAAAAAAGCCTCTTAACAGCAAATGTTTTAAGCTACAGTCTGGCAAATACTTTAATTTCCAGATCTCTGCAAAGATGTTTATGCCCATGAAATGTGAGAACAAACCAACTAAACCACCCTGTTGTAAGAAAGAAATAAGCAAACAACTAATTCTATTCAGAAGTTCCAAGAAACATCAATAGCAAAAGCAAATAAAACAAATAAAAAAAACCCCATAATTCAACATAATCCAAGTCCAAATGCTGAGCTCTCTCTTACAGGACAAAGCAAAAGCCGAATTTTTACTCACAGTTAACTTCAAAAAAACCCAAAAAACAAAAAACAAACAAACAAAAAACATACTAGATCACAGCTGAGAGCAATTAGTCAATCCCCTGCTTATAGGCACGCACTCACACAGATAAACTAAAGATAACTTCCTCTTCAGCACCACTCTCTCTTCCCCCCTAAAAAATCGCAAATGAACGGGAACGTGTAGAAATAAACGAACAAGTAAACAATAAAGGCTCTGGGGTTTTCGCTTGTGCCTTTTCACAGCGCACTCACTGTAACCCATGAGCTCTCCGCCCGGCGCCTCCGCCACGATGAAGTACTCGGGCCAGTGCGCCAGGTACTGCAGGTAGAAGGGGATCCCGTACTAGGAGCGCCTGGTTAAGGAAGACGGCGGGGAGCGGGGAGCGCCGCGGCCCGGCCGGCCCCGCGCCACGCGGGAGGAGGATACGGTCTCCGTGAGCGGGTCCAGGTTGCTGCGGGGAGCAAGAAGGGGGGGACATTTTAGG